GTACTTACAATAGCACAATACACACTGTGGCTACACCTACAGTGGTTGGGCTAGTGACCACTTACATACAGTAGAGCCTTCCATGTGCATTATTACCATATTCACAGATGCTATTGTTGCATGTCTTACTCATCCATTCATGGATAGCATGACCCATAAGGGTGATTTAGGACATTTGGCTGGAAACATCATCAGACACCTTGAACCACAGTAAACACTTTTGCCTCTATCAAAGTACATACTCTTGTTTTATATTTTCTCTTATACTTTAATGATTCTTCTTGTAGTTATCAATAAACTCATCCTTTTATCAACTAATGAGGATTTATTGATTGTTTTCAGTCTTCATTAGTCATATTTTTTAAAAATGGGAAAAAATTCTGTCACATAACAATAGACTTATTTATATTATCTACATGACCTTTGAATCTACTGTTACGTATCCTAATTTTAGTCCAAAATATACCGTGAAAAGAATTTTCATTTCACGATCCATATGACTGAAGACTATTTTAAAGTTTGCCAATGTAACAGATGAAGATGACAATGCTTCATTTATATCATCTGGAGATAATCTTTTGAGTACAAATTCTTCTATCCTCCTTTACCTCTAGTGTTAAAGTCAGCCTTCACTGCTCCTCTGGCTCCAGCATACATATCTCCATCTTCATCACTCTGTACAGCCTCTCCTCACTTAGCGACGTACTCATTTACTGATGCCTTGGATTTACGACGGGCTCTCTGACCAGTATTTATACCTAATAATGTATATATTAAAGCTGATTTCCTCTATTCTGTTTATTTCAATATACAGTACACTACTGTATAAACACTTAAAAGCATACCAGAAATATTAAAAATGGTGCAAAGGTGACATTAAAGCAATATCAAAGATGGTTGACACAAACCCACTAGCATAATAGTATGCTCCTCACTTAGCGATGAATTCGTTTAATGACGTGGTCTTAGGAACGTAACACCATCATTAAGTAAGGAGAGGCTGTATTAAATTGATAAAGCCTGCTGTGCTGCCGAACTGTCATCATTACTCCTCCCTGCCCCTCTTTAAGGCAATCAGCATTTTATCACAGTCTAATATTTTTCAAGATTTTTTTTTTTTAATCTTTTTACTTTCATTGCATGGACTTTTGTATATTAAACTCCATCATCCATCTGTTAACCAATCCTTTCGTTGGATGTCCCCCTACAACTTGTTCCCTCTGACTCAAATTTGTACACTGATCTCTTATATTTTATTCATTCCTTTTTAACCTCCCATTGGAAAATTAGTATCACCATAAGCATAGAGGAAGACCCAAATAAAAATTAAAACAAAATGAATGTAGAAAAAACAATCAATACCTCCTCTTTCTCAGCCTTGAGTTTGGAAGCCAAAGCTTTACTAACAGAAACTGCTTGTCGTTCCTTCTCCTGAGCATCACACACCAGCCGCTCTTTTTCCTCCACATTTCCTCGCAGATCTTTTATATTGCTCTGTTTTAAAAAAATACATAATGAAATAAAATAATTTTACAAAATAGAGAAAGATGTTTTTTAAGGCTGTGTCTTAATATTCTCCCTCAAAATAGCACTACACTTCTAATGAATAAAGACATGTAAAAGAAAAAACTTTTTTCAAGTTTTTTCCTTCTTTCACTTCTGTATAATAAAAAAAAATTATATATGTACTGTACTTACAAACAAAAATCTAAACTTTACAAATGAAATAGTGTAACCAAGACAATAAATCACCCCTATATTAAAGTCCTCTAACTTTATGAAAAACTGACATGTAAATGTTTTGTGTACCTGGCAGTGGTTAAGATCAGCAATATCTCTTCTCCTCTGGTCAAGAAGGTTGTTACTGTCTCGAGCAGAAGCACGATACAACTGCGTCACCTCCCAACAGGTATTAATAAGAGCCACCAAATTAACTCTTTGGCTTCCTGTTTCAATAAGTGGACAACCAAGACCCATTCCCTGTAGTTCCTGTAATGAAATTAAAGCTAAAATACAGTACAGAACTAATATTAACTATATGAACAGAATAATCAAATAGAGCACACAAATAAGGCCAGAACTAATTACAATGAACTTCATTAAAACAACTGAATGCTCATCAAAGAAACACTGAAAGTCTTCACATGGAACTCAACATTCTGCAGTCAAAGACTTTAGCTACAACATTGAAAATTAAAACTGCTCCTTATGCATAATGGAGGAGGGTATAAAAAGTAGAAAAATAAATCAATATTATGTTCCTTTACCTTCCTAAATACAACTGTGTTTCCAAAAGTCATTTTTTTTTTATGGTGTTGTCAAAGCATCGGCCAATTTTAAGATTACTGTATCACAAAGCCCGAGTGGGTTAATTTTACAACTGTGTTACAATAATTAAAAATTATGGAGTAGAGCAAATGTCTCAGATTTTCCAAATAAAAAAACTGTAAACTGGTATGAACAATGAAAAAATTGCAAACCGGTATTAACAAAGTCTTTCAGCAAACAATATAAAATAATATAATAGTTAATGGAGACAAATTCCAATGTCTCAGATGTGGGAAGAATGGAGAACTCGAAAAGAACGTTGGATACAAAACACAGGAAGACGGTCTCATTGAATGAAAGAAACGCATAAAAGACTTGGGTATAATACTGTCATATGATTTCTAATTTAAAGGATACAATAAGGCAAATGCTGAGGAGGACAGAAAAATGACAGGATGGATAATGAAACATTTCTAATGGTGACACTATTTAAATGATTTGTGCTCTCTCATTTACAAAATTGCTTGATACTGATGGCTCTATTCAAGGCAGCAGTGATATCTGAGCTAAAATGGTAGAGAGATCATGCAGAGTCCATAAAGAGCCAATAAAACCTTTAAAATAAAGGAATACTTCAAAGTATTTTTTGAATGTACTCTCTGGAGTGAAGTAGAGATGCCTGATAATATACTTTATACACTGGAGATACTTGAGAGCCTATTCCCAAGAGTACATACTATCATAATATACTGGAGTGAGAGATATGGGAAGAAGTGTTAAATAGACCCAGTGAAAAGCAGGGGTGCCATAGGACAAATAGGAGAACAGTGTCAACATCAGTGGTCCAAGACTATTCAACTTGTTACCAGCAGATATCAGAAATATTGCCTGGAGTGTGCAAATCCCCAAGAGGAGAGCAGACTGCTACTGTACTCCTGAGAAGAGCCAGATCAACCAGGCTGTGATGGCTATGTGGGTCTGAAAACTGCCAATAATGACATTATTATTACATACTACACTCATGGGGAAATACTAAACCAGTAGAGGTCATACAACACCTGAGGAGTGGGAGGCAGTCAGGTTTGATCCAAGGAAGGGGAGGATGGGCCCAATTCCCTGGATTAAGTACTTCTCACTAGCATCTTATAATAGACATGGATTTATACTGTTCTTTCAGAATTTTAGTACAGTAATTTTTTTTTATCTTCAGTACATGTACCACTGTCCTATAAGATAAGGAAACAGTACTAGAAGAGGCTTATATGTGACAATACATCCAAGTACTAGAAGAAACTTATGAATACTGTAACAAGACATCCAAGTTAGCACAAGAAAACTTACCTGTGATAAGTAGACCACAGCACTTGGTAGATTTGCTGTTGTACAGAAATATGGAAGAGACTCCAAGGCAGAGGAGTTCCTGTGCAATTTAGAAGCTTCAGTGTCACTGACATCTCTCAATGATACCCAGAAGCTCAACTGACCTCTCCTTATTTTCTCACCCATCTGTACCAATTCATTTACCTGGATACAAATAGTTGTGCAATTCAACAAACATATCAGTGATGTAAATAAATTATAAGATATGATAAGTGATACATGGTTGGTGTTGTAATTAGTTATACATACATACATATATATGTACATACAGAACTACAAAGGGATCTGGACAGGCTGCAGGCCTGGTCCAGCAACTGGTTCCTGGAATTCAACCCCACCAAGTGCAAATTCATGAAGATTGGGGAAGGGCAAAGATGGAGTACAGTCTAGGGGGCCAGAGACTACAAACCTCACTCAAGTAAAAGGATCTTGGGGTAAGTATAACACCAGGCACATCTCCTGAGGTGCACATCAACCAAATAACTGCTGCAGAATACGGACGTCTAGCAAACCTAAGAACAGCATTCCGACATCTCAATAAGGAATCATTCAGGACCCTGTACACCATGTATGTTAGGCCTATATTAGAGTATGCAGCACCAGTTTGGAATCCACACCTAGCCAAGCATTTAAGGAAACTAGAGAAAGTGCAAAGGTTTGTAACAAGACTAGTCCCAGAGGCATAGGGCATGTCTTACGAGGAGAAGTTACGAGAAATCGACCTCACAACACTGGAGGACAGGATATGATAACGACATATAAAATACTAAGAGGAAACGACAAGGTGGAGAGAGACAGGATGTTCCAAAGATGGGACACAGCAATAAGGGGTCACAGTTGGAAGTTGAAGATTCAGATGAATCACAGGGATGTTAAGAAGTATTATTTTCAGTCACAGAGTTGTCAGGAAATGGAATAGTCTGGGAAGTGATGTAGTGGAGGCAGGATCCATACATTGCTTTAAGAAGAGGTATGATAAAGCTCATGGAGCAGGAGTAACCTAGTAGTGGCCAGTGAAGGGGCAGGGCCAGGAGCTGTGACTCGACCCTTGTAACCACAACTAGGTAAGAACTCTCACACACACTCACACTCACACACACACACACACACACACACACACACACACACACACACACACACACACACACACACACATTCTCTCACACACACTCTCCCAGTTTCCCAAGGAATTATACAGTTGCCGATACATACATACATACATACATACATAAAGTAACATTTATGAAGGGACTCGGGAAAACAGGTTAGCCAGACTTGAGTTCTGGAGGTGGTAAGTACAGTGACTGTGCTCGGAAGGAGGGGTGCAGATATATTGCAGTTTTCTTTTATCTGTAGTGTCAGCACTCCTCTAGCAAGACAGTGATTGAGTGAGTGATGATGAAAGTGGTTTCTTCTTTTTCAGGTCACACCACCTCGGCGGGAAACTGCCAATGTGACAATAATGAAATTTTTTTTATATATTACACACACATAGATAGAGTACTTCCCCTGTTCACCTTTCAGTAAGTAGGTACCTGGGTGTTAATGGACTGGTGTGGGTGGCATCCTGGGGGACAAGATTAAAGGTCCACAATGAAAATAAGACAGAGTCCTTGATGACGCACTAACTTTCTTGGGTTATCCTGAGTGGTTAACCCTCTGGGTTAAAAATCTGAATAATAATAATAATAATAATAATAATAATAATAATAATAAAAATAATGATAAAATATTTATTTCAGCATGATACAATATTTATAAAGATGGGCAGAAGCCCATTGTTATGGAAACAAGTCACTTCATCTGACTGCTTTTTGGATTATCCTAGGTAAATTACACATATTATTATGTATACTAATTTAAAATCACCAAAAATTGTGTACCAGTACTTATATAAACGTAACTTCTTATCTAACAAGGTTCTGGTGCACCACACAAAAAATGCTCCCAGACACGTCCCTCAGAGAACCAACAATAACAAAGGACAAATTATCAGCATTTGTAGATCCTACTCCCCAGAGAACACATTCCCTGTACTTGCTTCATTAATGAGGGATAAATAAATGAAGTAATGAAGGTAAGTGACTCCTGTCTCCTGGAGTAGCAGCGGTGGCGTTGTTGTTGTTGTTAAGGGCCACCACAGTGAGCCTTATTGAGCACTACTGCCCTTATTGAGCACTACTTCCCTTATTTAGCACTATTTCCTTTATTGAGCACTACTTCTCGGGGGCCCTGAACAACAAAATGTCCCAAAATTATAGGGAACTAGAAAGGAAGCAGTTTCCTCTGGAAAAAAGGAATGGTAACAGCAAAGTTCTCAATTAGGTCAGGTGAATCCCCTTGCCTAATCCCCCTCAGAGTGACAAAGTGGAATCTTAGGTCTTGTCCATTGGACCGGTACTTTTTATTATGAGTAACGTCTTGACAGAAGAAATCGAGTCAGAGGTATTTCTGTTCGCATATGACGTAAAACTAATGAGGATAATGCAAACAGAAACAGGTCGTTGTGAGGTCTGGTCATGGGCTGAGCAGCGGGGGCGTTGACCTCCGGAACACTCTCCAGGTAGACGATAAGACTACGCATAGATCTAGACAAGTTGTAGCTTAGGTTAGACAAGTGGTTATTAAAATTTAACCCTAGCAAATGCAAGTTATGAAACAGGGGGAAGGGCAAATTAGACCTTAAGAAGAGTACAGGCAGGGGAACAAAGTTTGCAAATCTCCGTGAAAAAGACGGTCCACGGGGTGATCATAGTTCCGAATGATGAATCAGACACTTGTATCGGTTCTCTGAGCCATTTATCTACATTCACAGTTCCGAATATGTTGCCGGAAGTACACATGAATTGAAGAATGACATCGGCGAATGTGAAACTGGCAAATTAAGTGTAGCTTTCAGGAACTTCAATAAGGAGGCATCCACATCTTTATACGGGGCATATATCATCCCATCTTGGAGCAAGAAACACCAGTATGCAACTCGTATCTGATAAATCATGTAAAGAAGCTGAAAAAAAATGCAAAGGTTTGCAACGAGACTAGTCCCAGAGCTAAGGGGTAAGAGCTGAGGATAGACTCAAAGTGTCAAATCTGACGACACTGTACGAAGGATCAGGGGTATCATGGGTACGACATAAAAACTACTGAGACGAAGTGACAAGGTGGAGAGGACTAGTCTGAGAGGCGGGTCTCAGGTACACAAGGGTACAACTCGAAATTAAAAACAAAGATGAGCTACAGGGATGTTAGGAAATATTTCTTTAGCTTTAAAGTGGTCAGGAAGTGGAAAGACCTAGTGGAAACTGGCAGACTGACACCCAATAACAATTCGAATATTATTTTAAGTAGAATATATTATCTTTCAGAGTTTGAAGCAGATCAGAGAAGGTTTTCTTAAATCATCACATGGAAAATAATATTGTGGAAAATACTGTATATATTTTCCGGAAATACGGTAATTTATAGGTAAATAGATGCCCTATATTGTATTTTTAAAAGAAGTAAGTTATCGAAAATGGGAAACCTGCGGCTGGGGGGGGGTCAGTCGCCATTTTGTTTGAATTTGGATTAGAAACGTTGGTGTAATGGGAAGAATTTTTCGTGCTCTAGAGGTTAAAATTAGGCTGACACCTCTCAAATAGAAGACGAAATTGTTGGATGTGCATTCCTGCATAACTTGAGATATCAGGCGACTGGACAAGACAGCTCCATGAACCTCAGATAAGTCTTATGTAGTAACCTGGCCAGTGTTATTTTCATAGATAGACCTGGAGTTTACCTGGAGAGAGTTTCGGGTCAAGCCCCCGCGGCCGGTCTGTGACCAGGCTCCTGGTGGATCAGCCCCTGATAACT